AAAAAAAAAAAAAAAAAAAAAAAAAAAAAAAAAAAAAAAGCTAGCTAGATCTTGAAGGTGGTAACAGTTTTCATCATCACATTCTACATTGAGCTTTTAACTAACTATTTAATTTATGCTTGGCTTGAAAATAAGACTTAACTTACCCTTACTGTTGTGGTATATACATTTTTTCATAGACTATGAAATTTGAAGTTTTGAGCAGTAGTTAGTAAAGTGCACTTTTAAGCCTTTTGAGTTGTAATAATTATTTGTAAAATCAATTTATCATATATAATGAGTTTTATATTGCCTTTGAAACCAGCAATAATAGAAGACTAGTGTATATACTAAAATATATAGTAATATTTTTTATTCATTCATTTATTCATTCAACAAGTACTTCTTGATATAACTATACGCCAGACATTATATTAGAGACTTTGGTTATAGTACTGAATAAAAGTCAAGTCTCTGCTCTCATGGAATCTCTGTGGAGGGGGATGGTAAGGTGTAGGGGAAACAATTAGTAAATATCAAGAACAGGCATTATATCATGTGGATAAGTGCACTGAAGAAAAATATAGCAGAATAAAGGGATAGAGAGTGATGAAAGGAATTCAGTTTTAGATATTTAAGAAAAATGAAAGTATCGATGGTTGAAATGCTTAGAGGAACGGAAAGAAATTGCTTCAACAATGTAAAGAAATAGTGAAGAAAAGAAAAAAGTATTAAATGTGATTTTTGCGGTATTTCTTATAGGGGTATTTCCTATATAAATTTAAATTTAACTTATTAATGTACTCAAGCTTTTTTGTTCTTTTTATAAGTAGTTTTGGCTGGAGATGTTTGTTGATTTGAAGTATTTTATTGATTCTGCCTTATTTTATTTTGTTGGGTTGCATCACAATCTTGATTCTCTATGTTAAGATATTAATCACTTCCTTGGGATATTGTATACATAGACAAACAAAAATGCCTAAAGTTGATTTTACAAAGGTGAAAAGTACATATTGCCTTTAGTTAGTAAAGGTAAATTATTTTAAGAGCAGAGAGCTGTCATATAAACCACTTGCTGATGTCTGTATCATCAGCATTTATAACTTATAATATTTTCAAGTGTATGACTTTATTCAGTAATCATTGATAAATTTTCTGCATATGAAATAGGTAAAGTAACTTTCTCTAAAGAAAATAAAATTTATGTAGATAAATGGAAAGCCATAAGTGTATTTTATGAAGCAGTAAATGAACAAGAATTTCAAGTCATGAAAGTTATGTTGTCAGACAAAATTAGCATGTAAGAAAAGTATTGTTTCAAAGGAAAGTATACTTTCAAATGGCCTGTCTTTCTGTCTCTTTCTCCTCTTTTGAAAAATATTAAAGTATGAGCTATGGATAATCTTAGAAAACTTTATTTTACTAAATAACTGATATCCTAGGATCTAGTCAATAATATATTTGTATAAAATATTCTGTTAGGACTTATAACATTAAGAACAAATGATAGTGTATTGAAACTATTTACATTTAGTATTAAGAGTTTCTTAATTTGCAGTATTTTAAGACCTAGTGTAATTTTTGTTAAAATAACCTTTTTTTGAAAATACAGTGTGTGTGAAATTTTTAAGATGTGCTTTAAAAAATAAGATATAAATACCTGAGAGTAGGAATTACCCTTTTTGTCTTATTCATAGCCCAACGTAAAGCATGACAGTTTTCCAAGGAGTTTATTAATACGTTAATAAATATTTAGGAGATTTTCAAATGGTCATTTCCTGTGTTAATGCTCCATTTTTATTTTATTTTTTCTGTTTACAGATATGATCCAGATGTGTACGTGAATAACTTTGGTTAGTCAGAGTGAACATTCAATAATGAGTGGTGCAGCTTTGGGACTCGAGATTGTTTTTGTCTTTTTTCTGGCATTATTCCTACTTCATCGATATGGAGATTTTAAGAAACAACATAGACTTGTAATTGTTGGGACACTGCTTGCTTGGTATCTCTGCTTTCTTATTGTCTTCATACTGCCTCTGGATGTTAGTACGGTAAGGGGAGAAACTGATTTTTACAATTTTAAATGCAATTGCAATCACAAGCATGTTTGAGATATATCATTTCTTAAGACAGCTAAATTATATAAGGTTAGATTTATATTTTGAATATAAATGTTATTTTAGGAATTGATCATTAAAAAGCAAAGCCAGAAAGGTAAGTTTGGGTGGATAAATTCATAAATTCCAGGATCTCTTAAGTACTCAGTAACTTTTTGATTTTTATTTTGAAACCATTTATTCATTGCTTTAGACAATATACAACAGGTGCAAGAATGCTGCTGCAAATTCAAGCCCTCCTGAGAATAGCAACATTACAGTATTGTACGCAACTGCTAACCCAAGGTATTCCCTTTTGTTTTAATTTATTCATTGCTTTAGACAATATACAACAGGTGCAAGAATGCTGCTGCAAATTCAAGCCCACCTGAGAATAGCAACATTACAGTATTGTACGCAACTGCTAACCCAAGGTATTCCCTTTTGTTTTTTTTAATATAAATATTGTAGGGGGCAAATTGTTTAAAAATTGTCAGTTTTTACCATCAGATTTTACATTTATTCAACTTACCCTCATTTTCTACTGACCCCCCCCCCCCCCCCCCCCTCCCCTTTTTACGGAAATATTTTTTTTTCTTATATAATTTTTTAATAAATCTTTTTCCATTATTTTTTTTTATTGT